TGTGTATGTGTGCGTGTGTGTGCGTGCATATTGTATTTTTGTTGTAGTGGTGGTTGTGGCTGTTTTATTTTTGGTGGTACTGGAGTTTGAACTCAGTGCCTCATGCTTGCTTGGCAGGCACTCTACCATTTGAGCCACACCCCAGCCCATTTTTGCTGTAGTTATTTTTCAGGTAAAGTCTTCTGTTTTGCTTGGAGCTATCCTCATACTGCTGTCTTCTTACCTATAGCCATGCACAGCGGACTGACTACAGGCATGTATGCACCACCATGCCTGTTTTCTTGAGATGGAGTCTTGCTAATTTTTTGCCCGGGCTGTCATTGACTTGCAGTCCTCCCAATCTCTGTCTCCCAGGTAACTGGGATTATAGGTGTGAGTCGTGTCGCCTGGCCTATATAACTTTTAAAAGAGACATTTGAAGTATTCGTGTCCACTGGATACCTCTCTACCCCAAATATAGTCTTGTGGATTATGGCCCTAAACATTTTAATGAACCCCTCTGTCCCTGGAACCCTTAACTTGTGGTTCAGAGGGAAGGAGGAGAAGGAACTTGGAGTGAAGAAGTCTGTACATCTTAGACTGCTTAGGTCCACTCTGAAGTCAGACTTGGCCATCTCCCAGCTTCTCAGTAGGTGGCCTGTGGACTGCAGGAGTCCACACCTTGAAGTCATCACCTTGGAGTATGTTAGAAATTCTCATATCCACCCACACTAGAGTCAGCATCTCTGCAAGTAGAACCCAGAGCTCTGTGTTTTAACAAACCCTTCTGCGTGGCTCCAGTTATAAAGTTGGGGAAACTGAGACAACCTGATCTTGTTTTAAGTTTTGGTTCTCTATTCTAATTAGAATCTGCTGATCAAATTCTATTCCTTGACATACTTCATTTAGACTCCTTGTCTTGTCTTTCCTAGGCTTCAGTTCTCCTAAACCTCCTTCTGAATCTAGTTCTTTTATGTTTCCTTTATATTTTAGAGGTCTGTAAGTGGGAAATTGCCAGCAATTTTATCCAAGCCGTTTGCTTTCTGTTTTAAATTGATTGTGTGAGCATGAGGAATGTGAAATTAAACAAACAAGAAAAAAGAAATAAAATGTTTTTCAAAGGCAGTGACTTCCTGAAAAGTAAAGCTTGTTAAATTTCTGGATTCAAAGTTTATTTTGTTTTCTTAGCAGCTCTGGGGTTTGAACTCAGGGCTTCATGCTTGCTAAGGAGGTGCTGTTAACTAGGGAGGTGCTCTAACAGCACCTCCACCAGCAAATTTTTGGATCTTATTACTGAAGGAGTTCCCTGTACCTTTTTTTTTTAAGTACTTCTCTGTGTGAAAGAGTTCAATGTAGTACTGAAGGACACAGGAATGAACCAGGAATGAGCAGCAAGAATTTTACTGTTTAATAAGTCTTAAAATTTTTTCCTCTTTTTTAAAAAAGTTGTCCGGGGTGGGGGTACATTGTGGCATTTAGAAATGTTCTTACAATATATCAAATATACAGTACTTGAATTCACCCAATCTTAAGATTTGTTAAAGTAAGAAATTAATAGGGGAGCTAAGGAGGTGACTCAAGTGGTAGAGTGCCTGCTTAGCAAGTGTGAGGTCCTTAGTTCAATAAGTAGTACTGCCAAAAAAAAAAAAAGTGTGTGTGTGTGTGTTAATTTTTGGAAATTTTAATGTTAGCTCACAGAATTCAAGGATCTCCATATACCTTGTTAATTAGAAGTTACTGTTATTTGAGAAATGAGGATTTTCTGGGGTTTTTTTTTGTGGTACTGGGGTTTGAACTCAGGGCTTCATACTTGCTAGGCAGGTGCCCTGCCACTTGAGCCACTCCACCAGCCCTTTTGTGTGTTGTACATTTTTGAGATAGGGTCTCATGAACTATTTGGCTGGCTATCTTTGAACCGTGATCCTCCTGATTTCTGCTTCCCAAGTAGCTAGGATTATAGGCGTGAGCCACTGGTACCTGCTGTTTTCATGTAATATATATTAGGCATAATATATATTAGGTATTTGTGATCATTATTTGTGTCTACTGTTGATCCATTTTTTAGGTTGTTGGGACCAAAGCTTTTCCTTAAATTGCTGAACCATACAAAATCATCATTTTCACCAAAGAGGGTCAAATACCAACAATTTCATGTTTTGGAATTCTTATGTTTCTAAACCTTACTCTCACAAAACATCATTTGTACTTTTGTTGTCTAAGCTGGATATATAATTTCTACAATTAAAAATATTTTATTTATAATCAAAACAATAAGCAGAACCAGGTGCTTCCTAGTAAGAAGGTAGCCTGAGGGTCCTTCAGCTTCCTGCCATGTCTTCCCATAGAAACCGAAATGACTCAGTCATGTTGAAAATAGGGAATTATCTAAACACCAGTAATTTGTAGGAATTCTTTATGTATGATATCAAAGTTTGACCACACTGCTAAGATCTGATACACTGCTCTCCTCCTCAAGAGAGTGTTGTATTATGGGAAATATAAAGGAAGAAAATTCTAGAAACTTTTAGAAAGCTGACTTGGCTTTCTAGATGGAGTATGATTGTGTCCCAAAGTTGTGAAGAACTCTTTTAATATGGAAGGATGTGGTAGAGATGAGAAATGGCCCATCTGGATCCTTTTCACAGTCATGGACTCTAGACTGAGAACAGCATCTACGCCAGAGAGAAAGTGTGTGTGATCTTAACCAGTAGTCCGTGGGCATAAGGGATCCTCTTGAAATAACTTTTAAAAACCATGTTTATGTTCCCTCAAATAAGGAGAGCATTTTGGAAGTAGGTGCAGGGGTCTTTTTGTACAAACACTGGTTATTTCTCCCATTTGGTAAAGCTGGCCTCTCTAGGAGGCTGGTTTCAAAAAAATACCAAGAAAATGCATACAGGGACACAGAGACTGTTCTTGGATCAGATCTGCCTGTACTACCCAAGATTGAACCTGTATCTGCCATCCAATCCTCCTGCTCAATTAAAAAAAAAAACCTAAATGAAGAAATGGAAAGGTACAAAGATAGTACAAGTAACTTTTCTATACATTTTACCTGTGGTGATCACTTTGCCTCTATCATCTTTCTGTCTGTGGATATCTGTTTCTCTTCAAAATCCTCTGAGAGTGAATTACAGAAATCACAGCCTTTTACTCCTAAGTTATTTAGTGTTTATTTTCTAAGAAAAAGGGCATTCTCTTACAATACCGCAGCATAAGTGTCAATCAACTTCAAGAATTTTTTTGGGGGGGGATGGTACTGGGGTTTAAACTCAGGGCTTCACACTTGCCAAGCTGGCGCTCTACCACTTGAGGCACTCTGCCAGCCATTTTGTTTTAGGTATTTTTGAGATCGGAGCTTGTGAACTACTTGCCTGGGCTGGTTTCAAATCATGATCCTCCTGATCTCTGCCTCTTGAGTAGCTAGGATTACAGGGGTGAGCCATCGGCACCTGGCAACTTCAGGAAATTTAATGTGGAAAGATAGAATCAGAAACAAAGGATGTGAGAGAGAAGGAGAGATGGTCCATCTGGAGCCTTTTCTTAACGATGGATTTTGGATTAATTGTATGTGGCACAGAAAGAATATCTGTGTGACCTTACCCATCCAGGGGTCCAGGGGTCCCTTCTTTAAACCAACTTTCCAAAACCATGTTTGGGTTCTCTCAAATTGGTCCAGTCTCTGTGATACTCTTCCAGTAGTTCTTGATATCATTTTTTTTTCTGGTCCAGGATCCAGTTCATATTGTGCTGTGCACTTTGCTGTCTAGTCTCATTAGTCTTGAGCATCTCCTTAGCCTTTGTCTCTGATGACCTTGATGTTGTTTTAAGTACAAGTCGTGTATTTTATATATTATTCCTCAATTTAGGCTATTTCCTGGAGATTAGATTAGATCCATATTATGGCAGATTCAGCTTTTTTGGCAGGAATAGTGCATAATGAGCCGTGTTCTCTGTATGTGACTTCAAAAGGGGCCTGATCTCTGTGTCGTTATTGCTGATGTGAACTTTGATCACTCCATTAAGATGCTTTCTGCCAAGTTTCTCCACTGTTAAAATTAGCACTTTCCCTCCCTAAAATGACTATGTTGTGGAGAATATAGGTATATCATGTTCCTCATCAGACTTTCACCTACTAGTTATCACATCCACTTTTGTTTCTTGCTCAAATCAATTATTGCTGTGATTGCAGATGGTGATTTTCCCACGGCCTGTCTTTCCTTCTACATTTATTAACTTTTGCTTATCTGTTAACTTTTGTTTCTCCGTTACTAATGTGAATTTATGGGTTCTTATTTTACTCAATAGGCTATAATCTATCAACATCAGTATTTGCTTTGATACTTAAATTGCCCCACTCCCACTCGCCCTGTGTGTCCTTTTGACATGTCCTTTCATTTTTGCCTTTTAATATTTCTTTACTTGCTGACATAAGCATGTGCTAGATTTATCTTAAAGTTATTTCTCCAAAGAGTTCTAATTGTTTTTAGTGGGAAATGGTGTTTAGAAACCAATATCTAGGCACTGCTGAAGTCTTTTTTTTCTGATGGGAGTTAGGATTGAACTCTTGCTAGTTCTGTACCACTTGAGCCACACCTCTAGTCCTGCTTTTTTAGTTTTTCAGATAGGGTTTTGTGCTCACTTTACCTCAGCTGGCCCTCAACTGTGATCATCCTACCTCTGCCTTCCAAGTAGCTGGGATTATAGGTATGTGCTACTGTCCCTGTTTTTTTATTTTTTAGAAATATATTAATAACACCTTGGTGGAAGAGTATACTAAGAGTTGTGCGTGGTGTACGTGCTTCTACTTCTAAGCACTCAGGAGGCTGAGGCAGGAGGATTGAGAACTTGAGGTCAGGCTGAGCTACACAGTGAGACCCTGCCTCCAAAGAAAAAAAAAGGTGGGAGGGCTGGCGGAGTGTTCAGGTGGTAGGGCTCTTGCCTAGCAAGCATGAAGCCCTGAGTTCAAATCCCAGTACCGCCAAAATATATATTAAAAACTTTTCTGATTTTTCTTTTAGAAAAACTCATTGCTTATCAACGAGAATTCCTTGCTTTAAAAGAACGTCTTCGAATAGCTGAACACAGAATCTCCCAGCGCTCTTCTGAATTGAGCACCATCGTCCAGCAGTTCCGACGTGTAGAAGCAGAAGCAAATGGAAGTAGGGACTCACTGAATAAATTTTCAGGTACAAATGATTTTTGTTTGTACTATAAAATGGTTATATTTTCAAGGGGTTGTGTGGAGTATGTCATTTGAAAGTTTATCACCCAGCATCTGTTAGCTTTTTCAGAGAGAAAAATCATCACAAAAAACTTTCTATTCTGGTAAATTGTAAAAGAATTCTGATTATTGCTAAATTCGATTTTAAGAGAGTACTTCAAGATAAAATTTAAGTTTTGTAAGTTTCATTGATAATAGTGAAGAACCTGCATCTTTTAAAAATAGACTCAAAATGAGATTAAAATGTAACTTTTTGTCAATGTAGGTTTATGCTGTGACTTACGTATAAACTTTAGATGGCCTCTGGAGAAATATTTGAGCAATTAATGCTTTTAAATCTGAATTATAATCTGGTTTTATAGTGGATACTTTTGGGGGTATCTGACCCATCCCATCTCCAAGCACTTCTGCTTAGAGTAAGATGAAAACCAATTATGTTCTGTATATTTCTGTGCACCTCTTATTCCAATAATTAAGGTGATATATGTTTATAATCATTGTTTCCAGGCTTACATGATCTTTCAAGATTAACATACTTTTTCATTTAACTTCACCTACTCTAATAAAAAACCCCACAACCACGAATTCCTCTCGAGACCTATTACCTTACTTTTAAAGTTTTATGCTTCTTGCTTCTCCTCTTGGTAAATTTGCATTATTACATGTAAGTAAGTAAGCAATACCATAAATCACCTGTAAAATCGTGGAATGGTATAGTACAAGATATATACCTTGATTTGTCTCTGATGCCAAGTGGTTTCTGTTAACATTTTTTGTTTCCTTGTAGTCTTTTTTCCATGCATATTTTTCCTGAAAAATTTTACTCTTGAAATTATACCATGAGCAATTTTACCATATCATTAAATATTCTTCAAAATGCTTTAAAAAATTTTTTGGTACTGGGGTTTGAACTCGGGGCATAGTGTTTGCTATGCAGGTGCTCTTCACCAGCTACAAATACTATTTTTATAGCTACAAGTATTCATCTAGTGATATCCCATAATATATTAAACATTTTTCTACAATTAGACAAATGATTTCCCCCCAGTTTTATAACTCTATTATGAACATCTTTGTATATCAATTGATTACATTTCTGGTAGACTTTTAAGTTATTTTCATTAGATTATGCCTTAAAAACAGGATCTATGTTTAGATGACTATTGACTTTCAAACACGTGGCACCATTTCTGGAAAAATAAAAAGGCCACTAAATAGTTATTGAATATATAAAAGCTAAATCTTTAAAAGGGAAACTATGGTGTAACAAGACAGAATGTTTTAGAGCTTTCAATGCTGTTATAAAAAGCTCAGACACTCATCACATTATCACCAACATTTAACATTATTATTCAGTCTGCTAATTTCATAGGTAGAAATGGTATATTGTAGTTTGCTATTGTACTTTTTTACTCATGAGATTAAATTTTAATTTCATGTATGAGTCATTTTTCTTTCATGTTTTGGTCTATTTTTAGTGAAATCGAGGCTAAAATCCTCAACTTTAGTCGTTAATTACTGCTAACTTCCTTGTTTAAAAGGTTAAATCTTAGTTTAGTGAAATTCTAAAGCAGTATTATATAATTGAAGTGTTTTTATTATATAGCATATTAAATGATTCATTGCTTCCTTTAATAAAAACTAAAACTATTTGAAGGTTATGGTATATACTCAACATTCTCAACTTGTGATGTTTAAATTATTCTCCTTGATCTTTTCAGAAAAAATGTCTTCCATGTAAAATTTTGGTAAAATGTTAATACGTAAGGTAAAAGTTATTGGTGACCAGTGTACTTGCTATTATTACATTTTTCATAAGTAGAGAGCATAGTTAGAGTCTGTTCAGTAAGTTTGAATTTTGACACTTTGCACTCTGCCTTCTCACAGCTAACCTCTGCTTTATACAGCTTGTTTTATCTATATCACAACTTTGTTAGACTCTAGTTGTAGAAATGTGCTTTTCATTTTAAATGGAGTACAAAATTAGGAAAGAAAATCTCTTAGTTTCAATTTTTCATAAATATTTACTATCTTTTTAAAGAAAATCAGTTTCTTTAAGGTAAGGTGTTCCTATGGATTAATTATGTTTCTATGTTTCAGATAATACCTTAAAGCTACTAAAGGAGTTAGCAAGTAAAAAATCCCTTCAAGTGCCAAGTATTTATTATCATTTGCCTCATTTATTGCAAAATGAAGGAAGCCTTCAACCTGCTGTGCAGATTGGAAACGGAAGGAAAGGAGGTGTGTTCATTTTGTAACGTCTTAGTGTGTTTGGACTACTCGTCTGAATTGTGACTTGGTGTATTGTGGTGACCATTAGAAGTCTGGCAGGTCGGAGAATAAGAATTCTTTATCTGTGCACAGTAGCCTGGGACTCATTCCAAAGTCAATATTGAAAGAAGTTGGACATTTTTCTCTGGAGACCAAAATAAGATCAAGAGAAATTTAATTCAGCAGACAAATGTTTAAACCTTGTCATTTTTCTGTTTTGAAAATTTAGACAGTAGAGAGAAGTTTTATCCCTGTCTTGTATCTTATTTCAATATTAATAGCTCTTACTGCCCTATAAAGAAGGTTTTTCTTCTGTTTGCCCTACTTTTTCTTATGGAGATAGATATAAGTAGATAGTCACTTTTATTTAACTTTTCATGCAATACTACTTTGATTTGTTGTTTTTTTCTAATATACCCGAAAGATAATTTTATGGCATTTGTTTTTCTCTTTGTTCTACCACATCTTCTTGAATTTTCCTAATAGAACCTATTAACTGCCCTTTTATACTTTTTAGCCCTCCATTTTAGCTATGTTAACCTTTTCTTTGTAGATTTTAAAGACATCTTTGTAGATTTTGGTACAGAGACCAAAATAGGATTTTCTTCTTCTACAACTGATTACTTCACAGCTATTGAAATTCGTTTTATTTCCTTCCTTCCTCCTCTCTCTCTCTCTCTCTCTCTCTCTCCTTCTCTCCTTTCTTCCTTTTCTACCTACCTACCTATCTACTGAGGTCTTGCTGCATTGCCTAGGCAGGCTGGCCTGGAACTCAGGACACTTCTACGGCATCCTCCCCATAGCTGGGATTACAGGTATAAGCCACCCTGCCCAGATTGAAATTTATTTTTTATGTTAATGTTTTTGAAAAAGTTGATTCAGTTGGCTTTTCTTTACTTTCCTCTCTCTTTCCCTTCCCTCCCCTCCTTTTCCCAATACTGGGCATTAAACCCAGGTGTGCTACACAGGTACTTTTACCACTGAGCTATTCCCCAGCTTTTGATTCAACAGGAAGCTTACATATTTTCCTGTATCTTTTTGTTCACATTTTTTTCATACTACTTGATGTGTTAGTATAAGTTTTTATATTCATCTTGTTTTGGTTTATCATTTTTCTATTTTATTGGTCATTTAAAATAACATACTATCTTACTAAGGAACTGGTAACTTCAAAAATGGTCAGACTAACTCATTCTTCATTTCTTTATCAATTCAAAAAATATTATTGAGGCCAGGTGTTCTACAGGTGCTAGATAAAACAAAGACTAGCAAGATGTGTGGCACACTCTAGATTATTTTCCTTAGAACATTGGTCATTAATTATTTTTAAAGCTAATAGTGTGTATTTTTCCTTTAATAATCACTGTTTGGGCAAGATGCTATAGCCAGTGGTAGACTTATTGACTTAGACTACATCTTCATTAATAAGAGTAACAAGTAGACATGTTGAAGTAATTTAGAACTTTCAGCTGGACTACGTGCCTGTAGTCCCAGCAGCTATAATCTCAGCACTTGGAAAGCCAAGGCAGTGGTATCATGAGTTTGAGACTATATCATGAGCCTGGGCTATATAGCAAGACCCTGTCTCAAAAACCAAAATCCAGACCATACAAACAAACAAAAAAAACCTGACAAACTTTCAATGTCTCTAACAGATTCTTTTATAGTAGCCTGTTTTTATTTTATAAATGTGATGTTCTCTTTCTTTTGAAGTTAATTATTCCCTTCCCATTCCTTTATATGACTTTATCCGTTGTAAATACAATAAGATCTTGGTCCGCCAAATTTTCAGTAGTTAACATTCTTATAAATCTGACAGTGTTTTTGAGTGGTAGAAAAAAACAGATAGCTTGCGGTACAGTATGGAAAACCTAGATTTACATTTAAAATTTTTCCTTCCTAAATCCTTAGGCAGTGATTCTTAAGAGCTGCAGAATATCCTAAGAAAGCAAGCTGTTAGCCTCTATTTAGAAAAGTGTATACAGAAAAAAAATACCTTTGCACATAATTTCTGAATTTTTATGAAAGCCCAGAACCTGTGTAGGGACTTTATATTAAGAATATCTGTTTTTAAAGGGGTGGTGGAGTGGCTCAAGTGGTAGAATGCCTGCCTAGCAAGAGTGAGATTCTGAGTTCAAACCTCAGTACCACCAAAAAAAAAAAAAAGACTGTACATGTACAGTACAGACACAAAACATCAAGAATGTCTGTGTTTTAGATCAGAGGAACACTGCTGCTTGCAAAAAATTCTAAATTCTATTCTTCAACAGTGAGACTGTTAATTAATTAATTAATTAATTAGAGAATAGCACTCAGAGCAGCAAAGCCTACCCAAGGCTGAAGAGAGAAGAAGGTAGCTCCAGGTGGTTACTGACCCCAGGAGACAGACTGCAATTCTGAGGTCCAGAACAAAAAGCTGCCACCTACCTACCTAGCACTACACTGAATACGCTCACAAAATTTGCAAAGGCATCTGCAGAAACCAGATATAGCAACTATAGATGGCAAAAGGGCATCTTCTAGGACCGGGGGAGGGGAGTGTAACTCAGTGGAGAGCACTTGCCTAGCATGTGCAAGGCCCTAGTTTCCATTCCCAGCACCAAACAACAACCACAAAATAAACAAACAAACAACAAACAGAAAAGGGCATCTTCTACAAGTGAGAGTTCCTAGGTATCTAAGAATATCAATACTGTGAATGACTTAACATTCAAGAAAATTGAGTTTATAGAGCAAATGGTATGATATATATATTTTAGATGAATCAAAAAATAACTGAGTATTATAAAGGATCAGTTAGAAATCTTCATGTGTTTCACTTTAATGATTATATTTAAAGTTTCCATATACACAGCCCAATTAAGAGCAGACTCAGCTAAATATCAAATTTTTTTTTCCTTTTTCTTTTATTATTCATATGTGCATACAAGGCTTGGTTCATTTCTCCCCCCTGCCCCCACCCCCTCCCTTACCACCCTCTCCGCCCCCCCCAATACCCAGCATAAACTATTTTGCCCTTATTTCTAATTTTGTTGTAGAGAGCGTATAAGCAATAATAGGAAGGAACAAGGGTTTTTGCTAGTTGAGATAAGGGTAGCTATACAGGGCATTGACTCACATTGATTTCCTGTGCGTAGGTATTACCTTCTAGGTTAATTCTTTTTGATCTAACCTTTTCTCTAGTACCTGTTCCCCTTTTCCTATTGGCCTCAGTTGCTTTAAGGTATCTGCTTTAGTTTCTCTGCGTTAAGGGCAACAAATGCTAGCTAGTTTTTTAGGTGTCTTACCTATCCTCACCCCTTCCTTGTGAGTCAAAAATATTGAGTTGAGTTGTTCTTCCAGGATGCATCATAAAGTGTGTACAGAATGGAAGGAAACAAAAGTTCTAATATCCATATGATAGGTATGTCAGAAGGAGACAACAAAGACGAATAAATATTGGAAGAAAATTTCTTTGCGTTGAAGAAAGACTCAGGTCTTCAGAATGAGGTCCCACTCAGCGGCATGGCTGCCAAAATACCTGTAAGGTTAGCTACCAAAATGGCACACTAGTTGGTAGAGGACAGCGAGTAATTCCTGAAGTATTTGCGGATGTCCAAGGCCATGAGTATCTGCCTGGTGCCGGCCACTTTGATTTACAGAATCCAATGTGTTTGCTAGTCCTATGGAGCTTCAATCTAGTACAGGAGACATGCAGATAATCAATTACACAAATAATTGTACAATCACAACTTTTTTTTTTTTTTGGCAGTACTGGGGGTGTTGAACTCACAGCCTTGTGCTTGCTAGGCAGGTACTCTAGTACTTGAGCTACACCCCAGCCCTTTTAGCATTGGTTATTTTTGAGATAGGGTCTCACTTTATGCCTGAATGAGTCTGGACTCCAGTCCTCCCGTTTGTACTTCCCTGTGTAGCTGGGATGACAGGCACATGCCACCACATCCAGCCTTTGGTTGAGATAGGGTCTCTCAATTTTTTTCACCTGAGCTGGCCGCAAATTGTAATCCTCTGGATCCTTGCCTTGTAAGTAGCGTGGATTAAAGACTAGAGCCATCTCACAAGATTGCATAATCACAACTTTAGTTAGTGATGTAAAAGGACATTTTACCTAATTAAGGAGTTGAAGGAAATCTTAAAAAATATATTTGACCTAAGACCAGTATAATATTAGTTTACTGGTAAAGATGGGTGCATTAGTTTCCTATTGCTGCTATAACAAATCACCAGAAACTCAGTAGCTTAAAGCAACAGAAATTTGTTGTAGTTTTGGAGGGCAGAAATCCTAAAATTAAGGTGTCAACAGGGTATGTTCCTTCTGGAAGCTCTAGAGATTAATCCATTCCCTTTCTTTTCTAGTTTGTAGGCTGCCTACCTTCCTTTGTGGCCCCATCCTTCATCTTCAGGACATAGTATCTTCAAATTTCTCCTTAACTGTGAGCCTCTTGCTCTTTTGTTATATCTCCTCTCACTCTGACCCTCTGCCTACCTCTCATAAAGCCCTATGGTTACATTGATCTCATTAGGTAATCCAAAATAATCTTCCCATCTCAAGATGCTTAATTCAGTCATATCTGCAAAATTCCTTTTGCCATGTAAGGTAACATTCACATATTCCAGGAATTGGGACATAGACATTTTGGGAAGCCATTATTTTTTTCTACCACAAAGGGAGAAAACAGGAAAAGCATCACAACAGCCCTGACAGGGAAAGGAGCATGGAATATTCTAGAAAATGAAAGAAGGCCTCTGTAACTGAAGTATGTAGAATGAGAGGAAGCATAGAACCAAATGAGGCTAGAAATGTTAGCTGAAGCCAAACAATGTAGGGTCTTCAATCAGTTGCAGGATTCTGGTTTTTATCCTAAGAGCAGAAGGAGATCACTAAAGAGTTTTAAACAAGACTCATTTACTATGACTTTCAATTTAAAATTTGTGAGATCACATTTGCTGGAATAGGAAGAATGGTCGAGGATGTGAGAAGAGTAGATGTGAAAAGCCAGATAAGAAGCTGATTTCAGCTGAGTGTGGTGGCACATGTCTGTAACCTCAGCCTTCAGAAGACTAGGTAGGAGAATTGTGAGTTCTCTATCAGCCTGTGTTACATAGTGAGACCCTGTCTCAAAACAACCAACCTAAGCCAACCAAACAAGCAAAGAGGATATTTTAGCAATCTACTTGAGACAAGATGAACTTGAACTAGGAAGGAGAGATGGAAAGAAGAAGGATTTAGGAGTTGTTTGGAATATATGGACACATACAAGAGACACAGTGACTGGACTTGTGATGGAGGTTGTGGGGATGGTTGAGGATAAGACTTAAGTGTTTAGATGGAGTAATTGGTTGCATAGTGGGTGCTACTCACTGAGATAAGAGACCATAGGAAACTATTTTGCAGCATTGATTTGCAAGAAAAGGTCATACGTTAAATTTGGACATGTTAAATTTCAAGGTTATTTTGAGATATTGCAGTGGAGATATGAACTAGGCAGTTGGATATTCAGGTCTGAGACTCAAAGGAGAGGTCTGAGTTAGGTTTAATTTTATGAGTCATTATTTATGAATGAGTGGTAGTTGAAGATGTGGATGAGTGAGATCACCTTGGGCCTCGGACTGAACCTTAAAAGTTGTCCAGCAGTTAATATCCAGTGAAAGAGAAAGATGAAGCTAGGGAAGACAGACAAAGAAGGGGCAGTTAGGCAGTAGAAGAAAAAAAAATAATGCCATGGAACATATGGAAAGAAATGAGGAATAAATGACTACCGTGAAACCGAAAGGAAGCATGATGGGCTAAAGATACCTGACTAGCAATGAGTATTAAAAAAAGGAATGTAATTTGGTTAAAACTGAAGGTAGACTGAGAGTTGAAGATGGTAAATTAAGATGGTTCCTAATATTTTCTTTTTATTTTAAAAGGAAATAAGTACTAGAATTTGAAAACTTCACAAGAAAGTGGGAGAAACCTGAAATAACAACAGTTAATATCTATCAAGTTAGAAACACCCCAAGGCAGGGGCTTTTCCTACTTTGTGACTGCATTTCAGAGTGTCTAGTAAATAACAGATGTACAATTAACACTTGGACAGGAAATATTGGACAGTTAATCAGTGGAACAAATAGTTAGTCCAGCCCTTTGGTTCTATTTCTGTTTGGTTTCTTGGTCCACCTTGCTTCTCCTAAAAAGTATGATGTGACCGTATTCTTCACTTTGTTGACATGTTTCTCCTAACTTCAACCCTTAGCACACAAACATTTCCTAGATTGTATGTCATAGAAGAAGAACAAGCTGGGTTTCGCTGCAATACCCCAGAATCTCAGTAGTTCATGTAATAAGTTTATCTATGTTTTTGCTGACAGTATATGTCTGTCGCAGTTGATAGGCTTTGTGCATGGTTTACCACTCAGGGATCCAGGCTGATCCAAGCAGTCGCCATCTTAAATGTAACTGTTTACGCTGCCAAGATAAAAGCCATCCTGAAGGATTCCAGATACGAGTGCTCAGAAACTACACATGTTGATGACCATAGACAATCACTCGTGACATCTCCACTCCCACTGTCCCCAACCATAAGAAGATTGAGAAATGAGATATGATCGGGGGCTCTGAGGCAGGGAGAACTGCTTTTGTTGTCATTTGTGAACTACCACAACATTAGTACTTCCATTTTCAAGGCTTTTGGAGTCCTTGAATGCCTTGGTTTCTAAAGTAAGGAACTTAAAGTTAGCTAGGAACCTGTGGCTCATGCGTATAATCCTAGCTACTCAGGAGGCAGAGATCAGGAGGATCACAGTTTGAGGCTAGCCCTGGCATATAGTTCATGAACTCCTATCTTGAAAATACCCAACACAAAATAAGGTGCTGGTGGAGTGACTTAAGTGGTAGAGTGCCTGCCTAGCAGCGTGAGGCCCTGAAGTCAAACCCCAGTGCCCTCCCTTCAAAAAACCTTAAATTTTAGCTCCAAAACAGAGTTTGAAAAAGATGGTTTATTCTCTAAACATGCTACAAGATAGAACAACATAGAGATTTTTAAAATCCCAAGAAAGGGCTGGGCACATGACTCACACCTGTAATCCCAGTTACTTGAGAGGTGGAAATTGGGAGGATTGTGGTTCAAGGCCAGCCTGGACAAGTTAGTGAGATTCCCATCTGAGCAAGTAAGCTGGGTGTGGTGGCTCAAAGACGTAATCTCAGCTTTGTGGTAGGGGTAAGTAAGAGGATTAAGGTCACGAGACCACTTTTGAAAAATAAATTAGAAAGAACTGGTGGAGTGGCTCAAGCAGTAGAATGCTTGGAGGCCCTAAGTTCAAACCACAATACCACCACCACCACCAAAAAAAAAAAAAAAATCCCGAGTGTGATAGGGAATAAAGGATTTGTATTGTTACTTTCTATCATGGTTTGTTTACATACTTGGGATCAATGTGTTCATGTGTTTTACTTTTTTCATAAACAAAGTCTTCGACCTTCATATGAATTAGCATTGCCTAGAAATGCTTCATAGAAATGTTTCATATTACAGGTATAAGACTTTTAATTTATATTCCCATTTTTAAAAAAATTAGTGTTGGGGATTGAATCGGGGCTTCACCTGTGCTATTTTAGGTGTCTTAAGAGGAGAAGGTGCACATTCACAAACATTAAGTTCCTATTACACCCCAATTTTTCCCTAATACATTAGTTATGTTGGAACAAATTTGTTTATTTATTTATTTATTTTTTATTGTTTTATTATTCATATGTGCATACAAGGCTTGGGTCATTTCTCCCCCCTGCCCCCACCCCATCCCTTACCACCCACTCCACCCCCTCCCTCTCCCCCCCACCCCCTCCCTCTCTCCCCCACCCCCTCAATACCCAGCATAAACTATTTTGCCCTTATCTCTAATTTTGTTGAAGAGAGAGTATAGGCAATAATAGGAAGGAACAAGGGTTCCTGGTTTAGATAAGGATAGCTATACAGGGAGTTGACTCACATTAATTTCCTATACGTGTGTGTTCCCTTCTAGGTTAATTCTTTTTGATCTCACCTTTTCTCTAGTTCCTGGTCCCCTTTTCCTATTGGCCTCAGTTGCTTTTAAGGTATCTGCTTTAGTTTCTCTGCGTTAAGGGCAACAAATGCTAGCTAATTTTTTAGGTGTCTTACCTATCCTCACCCCTCCCTTGTGTGCTCTCGCTTTTATCATGTGCTCAAAGTCCAATCCCCTTGTTGTGTTTGGCCCTTGATCTAATGTCCACATATGAGAGAGAACATACGATTTTTGGTCTTTTGGGCCAGGCTAACCTCACTCAGAATGATGTTCTCCAATTCCATCCATTTACCAGCGAATGATAACATTTCATTCTTCTTCATGGCTGCATAAAATTCCATTGTGTATAGATACTACATTTTCTTAATCTATTCGTCAGTGGTGGGGCATCTTGGCTGTTTCCATAACATGGCTATTGTGCATAGTGCTGCAAAAAACATGGGTGTGCAGGTGCCTCTGGAGTAACCTGTGTCACAGTCTATACCCAAGAGTGGTATTGCTGGATCAAATGGTAGATCAATGTTCAGTGTTTTAAGTAGCCTCCAAATTTTTTTCCAGAGTGGTTGTACTAGTTTACATTCCCACCAACAGTGTATGAGGGTTCCTTTTTCCCCGCATCCTCGCCAACACCTGTTGAAACAAATTTGTGTTCAAAATAAGCAGTACAGTAGAATTTACTAGAATTCTAACAGTGTTGTACAGATATCTATAGTACCTAAAGTTCCCAGTATCTCACACAGTGTCTCTAAGTATTCATGTCAGTCATAACCATATTGCAACAGTCAAAACCAAGAAGTTAACCTTGGTGCCAGCCGTAGCTCTTATTCAGATTTTGCCCTTTTCATTATTATTCTTTTGCTGTTCCAGGGTCCACCTCTGTATTTCATTAAACTGTCATGTTTCCTAGGTCTCCTCCAGTCTGGGACTTACATGACCTTGACACTTTAAAGAGTATGTGCTGAACTATCCTAATTTGAATTTATCTGATGTTTCTTCATGGTTAGATTCAGGTTGTGCATTTTTGGCAAAGAAACTACAGAAGTGATGTTGTGCTCTTTCAGTGCTCCTTTCATTGCATTGTATGCTTGAAGTTGATATGTAAGACATTGATATTTTTAACTGTATTTAGTGTTTATAGCCATGTGCTTTCAGTGTGATGTTTAAACTACTTTTTAAATCACTTATTTCACTTGATTTTACGTGTGTGTGTGTGTGTGTGTGTGTGTGTGTGTATGTGTGTTATGGTTAAGCCACATGGAAAAGAATTACAATATTATAGATATGCCTTTACATCCTTTGATCATTTTTCTTTCTGACATTGAATCCCTCAGTTATTGCTGTGAGATTGAGATAGTATAGTACTTTGGAAATAGTGTTTTTCTATACTGCCCTTATGAGAGATCTTTTTATATACTTGCTTCATTATTTTCTTCCAGTTTCAATAGTAATGGGAATTCCCACAGTGAAGAGAGAAGTTAAATCTTACCTCATAGAAACTCTTCATTCCCTAATTGATAACCTGTATCCTGAAGAGAAGTTGGACTGTGTTATAGTAGTCTTCATAGGAGAGGTAAGTATTTTTTTTATCCTATATAATCTAAAATGTGAACCTGTAATTCAAATATGTTTTTATAAGCACTTTAAAAATGTGGTGAGTAAAGCTTAGGTGATAGTTGGATATCACCTAATATATATAGTTGAATGTAAGTCTAACTTGTGTTTGTTTTAACCTTTCTCCTTCAGTTACAGACCAGGAATGGTAATCTTTTTTGTCAGTAGGATAATATTATGCACAGAGAACTTAAAGAATGAATTCTCATTTCTAGGTCTGAGGCCTAAATTTGGAAATTTGCACTTAGGCTCTTCAGGAGTTGTGAAACCTAAGAAAGATTTAGCCTAGGCTGGAGTTTTGTCATCTCTTTATTCTCTCTACCCCTTCTCTATATTGCCAGGATGCAACCATTACTGTTCTTATTAGAGAAGTCAAAAATCATGTGAATAAGAAATACATTTCTTATATTTTAACCTCCTCAAAAGATGTACAGAAGGAGTAAATCTTGAGCAAGTTTTTCTGAAGTCACAGGGAACAAGCCCCCTATATTCATTATCAAATTTCAGAATGGGAAAGGACTGGGTCGGGGAGCTCAGTGACTGAGCATTTGCCTAACACCCAAGAGGCCCTGGGTTCAATCCTTAGCAACCACTCCCCTCCCCCACAAAAAGGGAAAGTATTTAGAACATACTTTGATGCTGGCCCTCTTAATCTTATATTTTCAGGGTTTCCCATCTCTTTTTAAGTCTTAATGGAAAAGTAAATGCACATATAGTGTTCAAACCTGTAATGAAATGTTGCCTGTTACTTCTCCATGCAGATAGAATTATTAGTATTTTAAAATATATCTTAAGTAATTTTTCTTATGGCTTGTGGATGTACCTATAAATGGATCACTCTATTTATATTGTAGTATCATCATTTTTCTATCTAAAATGATTAAAGGTCACAACATTGTTTTTTATGACTACAAAATGTAGTCATATTATTTAATTTCTGATTGATAGTCTGTTTCTGAGTTTTTCTGTTACTAATTTCTGAATGTGAAATTGCTGGCTCAGAGTCCATAAATACTAAAATATTTGTACATGGCCAGCATGCTCTGCTGAAGTGAAGTAAATTTCTTCCTCATCCAGTAGTCTGTGAGAGAGTTTGTTTCTCTGTTCTAGGCAGTATTACTCTTTAAGGTTTTTTTTGCACTCTCATGGGTAAAAAATAATACTTTTTAAAGTAACTTAAAATCATTAATCACTCTATTTGATTCTTAGGTTAATAGTTTTCTCCTAAGTGTTCTGGTATGGTAATAAGGCCTGTGCATGTTCTGTGACTTTGACCATGATCTTTGACCATGTGGGATCATTTCTAGATCTATGTCTCTAGGCTCTTCCCAAGCCCATGTTTCTGCCTGCCTACTTGATAACATTATTTGAATGTCTTATGGGCAATTCTTAATCTGTCCATAGCTAAGTTGCTCTGACTTTCCCAAACTGCTTCTTTTCTAGGCTCTCATCTGCTTAGGAAGGTTCCTTGTATACAGTGTAAATTGGCCTGCACTGCCTTTGTGCTCCCAGTTCATCAGACGGACCTGTGTGTTCTCAGTTCTGCTCCTCTTCTTTCAGAGTCTGAAATCTTGTCTCTCCCTTTCCCTTTTTTCTTCCTCCTTTAAGGCCCAGCTTATTAACATTTACAAAACCACTCCCATCTCCCATTTGAAATTAACCTAGAACAAAACAGATAAATATATCTTTTGCAAACATTTCCAAGTAAATCAGAAATTTTTATAAGGGCAGGAATTATCTCTGGTCCATTTTAACATATGAAGAGAAAATTAAGAATGAAAAAAATACTGGAAAATACACAGATAATCAAGGATTTTCATCATCTTTTCTTCCCCGTGTAACTTCAGTTCTTTGTATTCTTTTTTTTCTTGAAAAGAAAAAACTGTCAGATGTCCCTCTTGGGAAGAGAGGAGAGACCGAAAAATGTTTTCTGGATATGTTTCTGTTTTTGATCCTCTGACCATTTAACCCTGACAGGTCCCTTGGGTATATGATGAGACATTCATAGAATATATGGTTTTAAGTAGGTGACCACTGATGCATTATTTGAAAGTTTACTGACTCCATTGTGAATTTCAGAAGGGGTTGAGGGGAATGGTTTCTAGATGCCCTAAAGGATCCTTGGCATGATTCAAGTGTGTCTTCAGATTTTAAGATTGTATCATTCTTGTGTTCATTTTTACTTAGAGTTCAATTAATTTTTATGCATTATGATACTTTTTTATCTGTATGCCTCATTGTTTTTAGGTTTTTATGCTCTTATATAATTCTTGTATTATTACTTATATTATTTTTTTCAGTCAGGATCCCTTTTGGAAAAATATTTCCCAAAGTGTACTCTGGATTTTAGCAGACATTTTTTCTTGCCCTGTTGTTGTATTTGGGGAATGCCCCAGCTTAACAAGTTCTGATGGGATTAAGTACCTCTATCTCACTGTGGAAACTACAAATACTTGCCTTACAGTTCAGGTATGTGACCTGGCTCAGCCACTTGCATATTCTTATCCTGAACTTTGTGTGGGGCTTCATTGTTTTCAGATGACACAGAAAACCCAAAAGAACAAAGAGGCAAATTTTTGGAAATAACAGGGGAATCTAGCAAGGTGGCTAGATACAGGGTCAATTTATATTTTTGTATGCCAGTAACAAAAAAAATATAAAAAAGGAAAATGTAATGGAGCTGGGATTGTGGACAGTCATTCTGGCCATGGACAGTGGCTGTAGAGACAGCATCTGTCCAGGGGCCACAGAGCAGGTGCAGTGGCATCCAGAGTGAGGGTTGCAAGCTGTGTTTTTGGAGCATTCTGTGATTCGTGGCTGTAGTGGAGTTTTATTTGCACACCTTCCTAGCCTGGTGCCTCAGTCCAACCAAAGTGTCTGTGAATCCTGCCCACCCCCCAGTCTTCTTTTGGTAAATCATTTTTCTGAGTCTTCTGCCCGAGTTTGTTTCTTCTGGTTATAGCTAAAATCTTGACTGATACAGGTTGCATCTTGTTAAAAGATTCCTGAATTTGATACAACTACCACCAAACAGAGTAGGCATTCAATAGGATGCAGGGATAGATGCTATTCCAGTTTAAAAAGAGACAAGATGGGTTTCTAGGTAGGTTTAACAGCAAGCAGATGATGATGGTGATAATGTAAAGACTGCTGAAAATTTGGAAAGCAAACCTTAGATAGCATGTTTTTAATATCATCCCATATTCATATTGTTTCTGCAGTTTGCCTAGAAACATTTCAAAGGCCTTTGTTTAAGTATAAAGTTCCTGACTGTAGGAACTTTAGGTTTTTTAATCTACAGTTGAGATTTTCAGTGACATAACCAATTTATCATATTGGAAGAATGCCCATAGTTAATCTCCGAAAACCTGAATTTAGAAAATTTCCAACTTTTAGAAAGCAGTGTGAAAACAATTTTACTTTTTATATAGACCTTTTACTTTGTATTTTATGGTAAGGGTGCCTGAGACCTTAGAACTTTTTTTGGTGGGGGGGAACTGGGTTTGAACTCAGGACTTCGTGCTTGCTTGGCAGGCACTCTACTGCCTGAGTCATGCTCCCACCCCTCATCATAACTTTTTGCCAACTAACTTAGCATCCTTGGTGACTCTTACCTGAAATAAATTGTGCTGTTTATTTTCATTATTTCATCTCCATTTAATTGGAGTTCTATAAAGAGGATCTATTTTTATTTTATATCTGTCACTCCTATAAGTTTTGAGTTGCATATAATAGCTACCAAGTTTTATTTTGTTGCTCAAACTGTTCCCAGTTTGGCCCTTGGGAGGTCATTTGGAGTTGGCACTCTTGCCTGTCTGCTATGGCTCCATCATGTTTCAACCATTACAGGTCGTGTTTCCCTGGCATAGCATATGCTCTTTAGGTATGTGGAGCTAAATCTTCTTTAATTTCATGAAAAACTTTTACATGGTAGTTTTTATTATGAAAACTTTAAGACATATAACGAAGCTGAAAGAACTTAGAGAAAATACCTGTATACATACCATCTAGATATCTAGTAGCTAGATTCTACTTACCAAGCTTTTAGTATTTTTGTTGTTCATATCTCTGTCTATTCGTACTTTATCTTTAATCTATTTTGTGTATCTTCTTTTGTGAAGTGTTTGTCAAATCTTTGTCCTGTTTTTTTGAAAATTAGGTTTTTTAATTTTTGAGTTGTCAGTGTTCTTTATATTTGCTGGATACCATTCCTTTGTCAAGGATGTATTTGTGGTTTTTCTCCCATTCATGTGGATGCCTATTCATTTTCTTTATACTGTTTCCATGAACAATTTTTAGTGAAATCTAATTTGTTAATATTTTTTCACAATTATTGCTCTCTGTGACGTAAGCAAACCTTTTCTTACCTCTATATCTTGAAGACCTTCTCTGAAAACTTTATGCTTCAAATCGCAGTAAGTCTATGATCCATTTTGAGTTAATTTTTGTTAAGGTATAAGGTCATAATTTTTTCATATAGATGTTCAGAGCCTCCAGTGCCATGTTGCAAACACTTTGCTCATTGGGTTAACTTGATGCCTTTACTGCAAACCTGATGTCTATTTGCGTGGCTATTTTTTCTGTTCTACTCCATTCATCTGCAGCTTGCTCCTATGCCTGTGCTTCATATTAAGTATTGAAGTCAGGTCGGGCCAAGTCCTCCAATTCTGTTCTTTTCAGGATTGCTTCAGATATTTTAGGTCCTTTGCATTTCCATATGCATTTCAGAATATTTTATAGTTATTTTGTATTGCTTCCTAGTGGCAACTGGTTCAATTGGGTGTTTTTTCTTTTAAATCAATGGGGAAATGTTTGGTTACAATTTTTCCTTATAGGAGAGGGAGAGGGAAACAGGGAGAGAGAGGAAGAGAGAGAGATGTTGATAGGTTTTATTATTTGGTGTAGTTGCTGTTCTGGTTCCTTTCTAATGAGTCATCACTGAAGGAGATGGATTTTCAG